CCCCAAAACCCCAAAACCCCAAAACCCCAAAACCCCAAAACCCCGTGACTTATAAATTAATTGAATCATTGCAATCTTGGAGATAATGGAGGCAGCAGGAAGCTTAGACCATTTGAACATACAGGGAGATACTGAAGCCCTGAAGATAATCGGGAATGACGAGCCTATATTCTATTCGAACATCTTATACAAGATCAACCAATATTCATTCTCGCAAAAATAGGGTCATTGTCATTACCTCTGCTAGGCTTTACAATTTTAGGAAATAGGACTAAGTGGATGCTTAAGAGGGCTATTCCGATCGCTTCTATTGGGGGTCTTAGTAAAAGTTTGTCCAAGAAGTCCAATGAGTTTGTGATCCATGTCCCTGAGCAGTACGATTACCGATATCAGTCAGAACACAGGGAGGAGATTATCCAGAGCTTAAAGATGGCTTATATCTCATTGATGAAGACCAACCTGCCTATCTATGGTATTGATGCAAAGGACTTGAAAAACTTCACTACTACTGAGAAGGACAAGATCAAGGGAAAGTCTAGAATCCCTGGAGAGAAGTATTTGATGGAAACTGAGGAAGTAATCGTCAAGGAAGAAAACTCAGAAAATCCATCTACAATTTCTACAAATGAATGGGATACCGAAGACTACCTGAAGACGTCATTTAGGGCATCCGCTGTTCTCTCCAGTTTTCAGATTGACCTTGAGGATGAAGAGGAGAAGCTCAAGGATAGTGAGATTTATCGGTCATCCACCCTCTACTCCAATGCAGGTGCTGAGGAATGTACTCTAGAGGATTTCAAGATCAAGAGAGTTATTGGTAAAGGCGCATTTGGAAAGGTCTTCATGGTGGAGAACAAAAACAATAGCAAAGTTTATGCAATGAAAAGTCTCAGGAAGGATATGATTATTGACTACCAACAACTGGAAGCTACTAAATTAGAAGAGCATATTCTGAGTAAATCTCATCATCCCTTCATTGTTCAAATGCAATACGTATTCCAGAACGAAATCAGGGTGTACTTCCTGATGGATTTGATATTAGGAGGAGAACTTTTCACTTTAATTTTAAATGAAAAACGATTCAATGAGGAAAGAACAAGATTTTATGCTGCTCAAGTCATTATTGCTATTGGATACCTCCATGGAAAGAAAATAATCTACAGGGACCTGAAACCAGAAAACATTCTCATTTCAGAAGACGGGTATATTAAACTGGCAGATTTCGGTCTATCAAGAATCTTAAACCCGGACGAACAAGCGACAACATTTTGAGGTACTGCAGAATATCTATCTCCTGAGATGATCTCAGAGACTGGGCATGACTTCACATCTGACTGGTGGGCAGTAGGAATTCTGATTTACGAAATGATGATTGGGATTCCACCATTCTACCACAAGAACAAGTCTACCATGTACAAGATGATTGCTGAGAAGGAGCCAAGGTTCCCAGACCCAAAGAAGCATGGAATAGGTGTGTCTGATGATGCAGAAGATCTTATTAGAAAATTACTCAGCAAAGATCCTAAGACCAGGCTTGGGTCTGAGTTAGGAGCTAATGAGATCCTAGATCACCCATTCTTTGATAGTCTTGACATTGATGACCTCATGGAGAAGAAGATCCAAGCCGATTATGTGCCAGAAATCGACCAAGAAGACAAGTACGATCTCAAGTTCTTCGATAAAGAAGTGACAGACCTTGAGGCTAAAGAATCCTTCATTGATGAAGGAGAGAGGGAGGAGATCCTTAATAAAATCTCAGGATACAAGGACAAATTCCAAGAAATAGGAAAATAAGAGTTTATTGGATAAAGTATAAATATAATTGAGTATCTCCATGGACAATCGGCCTAGCGGGGTTTTGGGGTTTTGGGGTTTTGGGGTTTTGGGGTTTTGGGGTTTTGGGG